TCGGCCAAAAACAAAACATAAAATGTTAAGCGTCTCTACCAGGTTGATGAACAATTTTTGGAGATAAACACTTCAAGGTCACCAAGCTCCTTTTAGCGCGTCGCTGATCGATCGACATACTTAAGATAGCGATGCTTAGCGTCTTAAACTATATAAATGGAATGGCGAGTCACCACTAGCGGCAACTGATATGCGCGCTCGCCTCAAGTTTCAATCATTCAAATGCTCCACTTTCTCTAATACCCGTACTTTAATTAGCCTTGCCGTCATTTGCTTTGCTTCTATTTTTTTTCTTTTTTTCTCTCTAATAAAGTTCTTTTTTGTCAATAAGTGCAATATTTTTATTCGTTATCGATAAAAAAAAAAACACAATCTCAAATTGGAAATCTATATTGGGTAGTATGATCTTGAAGTTTTTGAAGCAAAGAAACTTTGGAAATAAATTGAATTGGAAAATATTAAATAAGTTGTGGAGATTTGAGAGCTGCGAGGTAAAAAATATGAAACTTCGTAACGATACATCATCTTTGGGGCTTTTTTCATATGCCATAGATTAAACCAAGATGAATCTAAAAAATATCGAACGTTAACTTTGTGAATACATTGGATTTTTTTTCTTTGCCAGATAAGTTTTTCTTTAATATTGTAAATACTGCAGCGATGCTGCATCCAAAAATAAGTCCTTTGACAATGTACGCCTTTCAATCGTGCTTTCTTTGTGAATAAAAAATACTTTGACCGCAGTCGCAATGACACTATCGGGCACGACTACAATCGAGCGCAGGGTAAAAATTAATGCCATTGATTCACGTAAACGCGTGTACACAAACTATCGTACTTTGATAAAGTTATACTTGTAACCTTGATGATGTCTCAATTTTATTGAATTCCTATGTCATATCTTCAAGTTTAAATTGACTCGGGTACGAAATTACAAACTTGAAATGGAAATTGAAACGAGTGCGCGCACACTCGCGCAATACTTTCTTCCGGTTCGGTTCGGCTGGGTCGAGGGAAAAAGCAATAGACCAAGCGCCCATTGAAATTGTATTCATCTTACAAATCGACAGCATTTTGTAACTTTCTGGCAACTCTATGTACTATATATACATCGTATGCACACAATGAATATATGGAAAGCTCGAAGCGGCGCAGCAGAGCTCTTTGAACAGTTTTACAAGAAAGGCGCGCAAAGTTGAAAAGCGCGTCGCTTTACATTGTGTAGTCTGCGAGCTGGTGGTAGACATAACGTATTTGCTCGCTTACGGAGGAGGAGGGGGGAGCGGGCGGATGGGCGAGGAAGAAAACTATATTCATCAAAAGGCATTATGACACGCGAAAGCTTCGCTATACACGTAACAAACATACCGGATATATCAAGAGATTTATCACGAGCTCGCGCGTTGAAAGCCAAATAGGCACGACACTTAGGTATGTAAGGCAATTTGCGTAGATGTGTCTGTGACGCGAGAGCTTGCGGCTTTCTCGGAGAAAGAGATAGCAATGAGCTTTTTTTGTCTCGAAGAATGCCTTTATTTTGTTTTGTTGTTATTTTCGTGCAACTTTTTCTCCTCGCTTGGAGGGGCACTACACTTACGCGTGCGCACACACACACACGTGTCATTGCATACGCTGGGATTCACCGGAGCTGTTTTATCGACTGTTAAGAGCTTGCAGAAGGTAATCTATCCATCGCGCAACGCTGGAGTCTCCTGCAACTCCATACCGCTTGGTATACTCTCTGGGCTTGATGGCATTCCCAACCAACAGAGTGCGCGCTTTTAAATTCTCCTTAAAACTTCGAAGCGCTTGCAAGAGAATTTGCAGGAATGCCATTGTTTAGTACCATAAGAATGTTTGTTTTTGTCGTGGAAGTGCTTCAACAATGTAACGTTTTATAAAGAATAATATTTGACCTTTTTCTCCCATTAGGAGGACAATTAAGATCAACTAAAATGTGCGCATAGTATCTTAAGTAAATATGACGGAAAGTTTGTTGTAAAAGTTACATACAGGCGGGTAGAATATCCATATGAACTAAGGCACAAGTCAAATACCGGAGTAATCAGCAACGCAGCTATATCATCCATAAATTATAATTCTCAACACTGCACCCTTTAAAAACTCCAAAATTGATACACGTTAAATGTATCATCAGACAATAAAATAAAAGTAACTTCCTTCTTATTTTATTTACAGAACTTTTTGTTGAAAAAGAATTTATTGATAATCATTAATACTTTTACAAAAACTTAAAAAAGTAAAAGATTTAATTCTATACGCAAATGCTTTGATTGAAATTGCTAGAAAAATTCATGAAAACTCAATCATAAATAAATCGTGTATTCACCACTAGATGGCGAGTATCGCTGTATCTGTAAATCTGCAAGCGGCAAAGTCCAAACCATTACATATAAGTTAAGTCGTGATTTTCATAGTTAGTAATATTATTTTTGTCATATCCGACTTTCCAAAATCAATACCGCTGTCAGCATAAAGTCAACGCATGATTTCGATGCCTCAAATCAAAGCATGTAGATAATTTAAAGCATCGAATTGCTGTATAACGCATCGATTGCCAACGGTTAATCATTTATTTCTCTCGCATACACGTATACATCGTGAAAAATGACGATCGTCGAGCTCGTTTTCGCGTCGCTTCCGCTCGAGTTTGAAACGAGCTCGAATTTTTTTTTTTTTATTTGCATAGCCGCTGGCCGCAATTCCTCTCGTTCGTGTCTGTATATTACCACGTACGCGTATATATATAAATAAAGTACACGGAGCTTTTCAAACGCTGCGTCACAGAAGAGAGCGAAGTAGCAGGCAGCGTGTTCTCTACTACGTCACACACTCCGCAGAGTATTGCATGACGTCGACGTCGAAGCTATACCACACTACACGCATATATCCAGAGGGAAATTCGTTTAAGATCCTTGCGTCATTTCGGTTTCGCGCGAGCTTCGAATGGACGCGTATATAATAATAATAATACCGAACCAACTTTTCGGCCATTGGCCTTTTGTTAATTCATCGCGGTTCTTGAATAGGTGTGCCGCTCGCATATATAAAAGTTGTCCAATATAAGTGCCCAACTTTCGTACTTCTATATACCCACGATGCATAAAGTTTGACGCGAGGACTGACACGATGTAGTACTCGCCCTTACATAAAAAAAACGAGAGATACATCGAGGAAAAAACGTGTCACGCGCAGTCATAGCAGCAGCAGCAGCGGCAAGTACAGCGCCTTGTCAATAATTCATGCTGAAATTGAAGCTCGTCGCTCGTCTTTCTCGAGCTACCTCGTCCTGTGCAGCCGCCGCTCCGCAGCGTTTTATATAAAAATGTACACTTTTATATGTATATACGCCGAGTAGCGAGATGGTAATCTTACATTCGCATTCAGCCTCGTTCGCTGCAAATGTACGTACACAAGCCATAACACTATAATCCTATATATGCGCGCGCGAAAGCTCCCCGAGTCCAATATCCATGTCGGCGCGCTGGTAAAACGCTCGGGCGGCGCATTGCATTCTCATTATATGGCACATGACAGGGTACAGCAGCGGCAGTAGTAGTAGGTACGCGCGCACCCGACACAACGTAGTACATAGCTCGCTGCTACAAAGCAGCCACTCTCTCGCGTATATGCACGGGGCGAACCTTGAGGTGCAGGCTGGCTCTCTTTCTGTATATTTCAAAGCTAGAGCACGTGATAAGGCGAGCGATTTTCGAGTTTTCCGCGCCCTCGCCATTGCGCAAACTCCGCATACACTCGTTCTCTTACGGCGTATGCACGTATACGTATTATTATTATACGTAGGTTCGATGTGGTCGTCGTCGAATCGATGCTCTCGATGCTCATTCATCCGCGCGGGCGCTTGGCAAATGCCACCCCACTATACCTATAACCCTGCAGGCAGGCTATATAGGGGCGCGCTAAAAATTGAATCATTTTTTTCTTTTTTGCCATCTCTGAATCAACGTGCGCGCTAGCACACTGCACCTGGGTTCGCGGACTTTGCAAGAGTTATTACATTAGGGGAAAGAGAAATTTTCAAAAATTTTTCCGTGTAAAACTTTGGTTCGAATATAGTTTATGTCTTCGGGCCTCCCACGAAAATTACCTCTCTTTAATATGCGATTACACGAGGAAAATTAATCCGAGGTAAGTTCGCGCGGCAGCATTAGCGGGGGGCGTTTTATCCCGACTCTGTCAGGCAGCTCACCTATGAATACTGCTCTGCGTACTGCACGCATGCGAGATCCGCGCACACTCACACGAAAGTGCGAAATTCTGAAACACACTTACACACCGAATCATGCGACTGCGGGTCCAAGTGCACTACATGCAAGCCAAAGAGAGAGACAGAGATGAAAGGCGCTTATAAACTTTAACGCGAGTAAGAAAGAGAGGCGAATAGTCGGTGGTGCTGCTGCTGCTGCAGTAGGGCAGCAGAGCTCTAGGCCACAACCTCGTGCTCTCCCCTCCTGGATCCCCTTCCCCGCTTCCTCCTTTTCCTCCTCCTCTGCCTCGTCTCTCGGCACGCACACCCTTGGGCCGGGGAGGGAGGGAGGGAAAATACACCACACTGCGCGCTTGCTCGTTTTCGTACGTGTGTGTACGCGCGCCAATACACACCCGTTGCACACACGTTTATTCCAACTCACACACACACACACACACACACACACACACACACACGAAGTAACTGGAAAGCTCGAAAAACTATGCTTGCGCTTTGCACATCGAGGAGAGTACGCGCACAGCGTTCCGTTTTCTCGCTGCTGCTGCCGCTGCAGCTGTGTATTATTCTACACACACAGACACACAAATAGCTTCGCCGCTTATATAGCTATATATTGCGGCCGATCTCTGCCGCAGTGTACGAGTGTACGCGAACGAGGTATACGCGCGCGCGCGCCCGATAGTCCTTTTTAGCATACGACCATGTGTGCACATGCTGCCTACTCGTGCGTTCGCTGCTTATCGCCCTCTATCTATAACTAATATGGTACTGCACGTTTATATACAGTGATGTGGCGGTGTACAGGATATCAGTAGTAGTAGTAGTGGTAGTGCACGCGTGTCCATGTGCTACTGCTGCTGCAGTCGTCTGTCCGACTGTGCTGCTGCTGCTGCTACTGTTTGTGAATGATAGGCTGCTGCCGCGGCAGCAGCAGGCACGTGTGCTCTGTGCTTCACGATGCGAATTTACAATTGATACGCTGCGGGAGCCTATACATAATAACGCGTATCTCGCACGAGTTTGCCAAAGTTTGTCGTTTTGTGCATACGTGTGTGTGATTATTAGTGTTCGAGTGAGCGATACGATACGCGCCTGCCTTTTGTTTCGGGGCTGTGTACTGTTGTGTTATATATACACACACCGATGTTATAAGCAGTGCGTGTGTATGTGTATATCGATCAAAGTTCAGGTGATAGTGGGCGTATATTTAACGCCAAAGTTTGCGCGCCAACTGATTACTCCGAAGACTACGATATATTATAGTATTTAAGCGCAAGGAAGGCTGAATACAGCTCAAGTCGAAGGCGGCGAAGTTAATTTTATGCCTGGATTAACATCCTACAACGTGGACTAATCAGCGCGAATGCAGAGTGGAACACGTGCGCAGCAGTAATAGTAGTAATAACGGTAATCGACAGTTCGATTCCTCGGATATTCGAATCGAGAGATAAAAGGGCGAAAAAAAAATATCGGAGAGATGAAGAAAAAAGTGCGACACAGACGAGCAGCCACAGCGAGGAGGAACAAAGGGAGCAGCAGTAGCAGTCCAAAACGACGTGACAAAGGGGACGACACGACAAAGATACGCAAAGTTCATCATGATCAGTAGTTGAGCGAGATTAAAAATTCGGCAGACGTGCACGTAGCTTGACGAGCAGCAGCTCGTTAGACGCGAGAGAGAGACGATGATGACGTTTACGTAGAGAACGTGTGACGTTTCGACCTTGACCTTTCTCTCTATCTCTATTTAGGCGAATTATAAAAAAGTGCCGCGGGCTGTTTATGCACTTACCTCTCCGCTGGACACAGCATCTAGCTTGCATCATCTCTCGTTTTGCTTTCGTAGCTCTCGAGTACGTCAGTAACATCGATGCGACTTTGGAGCGCCGCAGAGATCTCCAAAATGAAAACAACAGCACCTCGTGCTTCGTCGGGATACGCAGCAGCAGCAGTAGAGATGCGAGCCTCCCGCGTGACGACGACAACGACGAGCATTATATAGCAGGCAGCTGAGAATCGATGCGAGTTATAGTGTCGTTCATGCAGTGTTTGTTGTATATAAATACGTGAAAACGTGGAGCTGTGCTGCTGTGCCTCTCTTCTCTCTTTTCTCTCATCCTCGAACGCGCAGCGCGATGTATATTTATACTACTACTGCTACTAGCCCGACGCACGCACATGGCGTAGCGTAGTAGCAACGAGAGACAGGCAGATAGTCGCTCGTATCGCTCGGATACAGACAGTCTACTCGCTGCAGCGGGCGCGGAATAAATACTAGTAGTCAGCGGAGGCTCCCGCGCGCGCTTTTGTTTGTGTGCACTCTAACCTCCTCTTTTAAGTGTGCAGGTGTGCGCGCCAAAAAAGAGGAAGAGAACCTTATTTAATATTATACTTTACTATCTTTAGTGATGATGTGATATTAAACTACACACAGTGTATGTTTTGCGTTTGTGTCGAGAGAGACGGTGCAGTGAACTCGAATACTGTGCGAGACCGTTACGAATTTATTACATCGTTGTTTAATAGTGTATAATGTTTACAGCGTTGTTATTGTGTCGTTCTACCGTAGAAATTAGACGTTATCTCTGCACTAAAGGTTGTGCTCCATATATTTCGAGTAATTATACTGCGTCCTCGCTCTTCTACATTACCAATTGTAGACGTCCCCGTACGGCTTGCTGACCACGAATTCAGAGTACCTGAAAGTAAGATTTTTTGGCCGCGCGCGGCGCCACACCGCTCGCACCGCGTACGGCCGCCCTTCCGCCTCAGTTGCTTTTTCGTGCGTGCACGCTGCACACGTATAGTGAGTTTAACCTAGAAAAGTAAAGTAAGATGCCCAAAAAATCGAAGAGAGAAAGAGAGCCTGAGGAGAGGTTGGAAAGGCTCCTCAAGAAAGTTAGAAAGTTGAATGCTGAGGTGGAAAACGTTAAGACTGGCCTAAATAAGGACGAGGACGGCGGAAATAAATCTCCATTGGGTGATGAAAATGCTTCGCCAAACACCAACAATGGCGTACTGCAGTCACCGCCTCCCAGAGATCCGTTGTCTCCTGAGGGCACCGAAAGCGAGGGAAAAACTATCGAAGAGGAGGATGACGAAACTATCGACGATGATAATTGGAATAAAATAGTGAGTAAAATTATTTTAATAAAATCATGCATTAGTGGCTCGACGGGTGAGCATAATGGCGGATCACTGTCCGACCTCCGTATAGCGCTGTGAAACAGTGGCGCATGGACGACGCGTTTCTAGGAATTACACAGTTATTGGACGCTCGCGCGTATGCGGCGCTCGAGGCAGTTTCGTGCTCGTATTTATATGCATACGTTCATGTACGTTTACTGTTCTTTCTGCACGGTGTGTTTGCACGAGTGGCAAGACAAGCCGTTGTATATCGCGCTAGTGCTTGTATGCGTGACAAGACGTGCTGCTGCCTATTATGAAATCTGCCGGTGTTTGTACGCGTGACAAAACGAGGCTAGAAACATAGTGCTTATGCAATTAAAAATTGAAAAATTTTTTCAATGCGCTCTGACGCTAATTTATTGTTCCCCTTTTCTGCTCGCAGATTGGTGAGGACCCTTCTTCTGCAAAAGGTGAAAAACTCTCCGTAAAGAAAGATTTATTAAAGATATGGCAATTTCTCTGTCGCGATGGCATGTCAAAAGAAAAGGAAGAGGCCTTGATTGAAAAATATCAGACCTTAGAGGAACTGGCTCCACCCGACTTGAACCCACAGCTAGACAGCATTTTGAAAGAGACAGCTAAAAAGCGAGACAAATACATGTTAGCCGTTCAAAAAACAGCTGCACAAGGACTCTCCATAATTGGTTCGATTATGACCAATATTTATAACAACGCAGCAGAAGGAATGGATATTGAGGACGTTCTGTCGCCTCTGAAGGAAGCCGGAGATTTGCTGTGCCTTATTATTAATAAGCAATCCAAAAACCGGAAAGCGTTTATAGAACCTGGATTAGCTAAAGACAGCGCACAGATTTTGAAAAATACAAAAATTGATGAATTTTTGTACGGGAAAGATCTGTCTTCCAAAATTAAAGAAACCAAAGCTCTGTCAAAAGAAGGGCAAGAATTTGCCAAGCCAGTGGTACCTTCTAAGAATTTAAACACGAAATCCCCGAACGTTGGACGTCGAGTTGCGGGGAATACATTTATCGGAGGACGTCCGAAACAACAGCTGTTCTTCAGAAACAGCCAACAATTTGTGAACAACAGGGGTCGATCATCTCGAGGGCGCGGAGGCAGACAAGCACCGTACAGTCCGAACCAACGAACGAGCCAATAAATGTAGGCGGTAGACTAAAATATTTTTATAAAAAATGGATGGAAATCACGGATGATAGCTACATTCTTAATTTAATTCTAGGCTATAAGATACCGTTTCACACTGTTGTTCCGGAAACAATGCATACTTATAAGTCGCGCGTTGAGTCAGAAAACAAAGTCGCATTAAACGCGGCGATTGAAAAGTTAATAGTAAAAGGCGCGATTAGAGAGTGCGAATACTCTGTGGGTCAGGTATTATCCCCATATTTCTTAGTTAAAAAACCGGATGGTTCCGACCGTTTTATTTTGAACTTGAAATATTTGAATGAATTTGTTAGAGTAGAACATTTTAAAATGGAGGATCTCCGTACTGCCATCCAATTAATTTTTCCGGACAGTTACTTAGCCTCGATTGATTTAAAAGACGCATTTTTTATGATACCGTTACACCCCAACAGCCGAAAATTTGTACGTTTCAAGTTTGATGACAAAATTTTTGAGTTTCTCTGTTTACCATTCGGTTTATGTTCTTCCCCACTTGTGTTTACTAAAATCATGAAAGTAGTTATGAAATCGTTAAGAGCGCAAGGTTTCACGTCAGTAATTTACTTGGACGATATTTTATGCATAGAGAATTCTTACGAGGAGTGTTTAACTAATTTGAAAAAGACAAGATTTTTTCTTACGGAATTGGGATTTATCATTCATAATGAAAAATCAAACGAAATTCCTACCCAAAAGGGGAAATACTTAGGTTTCATTTTTGATACTAAAAGATATTGTATTGAACTCCCAGAGTACAAAAAAGACAATTTGCAGATTCTTATTAAAAAATTCCTTAACACTCAATCGTGCAAAATCCGAGAGTTAGCTCATCTCATAGGTAAACTGGTTTCATGTTGTCCAGCCCTTGATTATGCTTGGCTCTATACTAAGAATTTGGAAAGAGAAAAAATCTTCCAATTATATTTTAATGATTTCTGTTATGATAAGACTATAATATTATCTGACGCGGTTAAAGCCGACCTTTTGTGGTGGTTAAAAAATATCCCGAATAATGTACACTACATAAAAAACAACGAGTTCAAATTAACGATTTTTACTGACGCTTCACTTGACGGCTGGGGCGCAACTGATGGAACACGCAAAATTTATGGAATTTGGTCACCCGATGAAAAGAAGTATCACATAAATTATCTTNTATAATTAAACGATCAAACGAACTTACCGAGTGAAGTTCGATCGTAATTATACGAAGTCCTCGCTCGAATACATTACCACCCACCACAGACTCAGACCCTCCCTTGGAAGAAGCGGTGAAATTTTTTTCGTATAACTTGCTCTAAAAACTGAGGCGGAAGGGCGGCCGTACGCGGTGCGAGCGGTGTGGCGCCGCGCGCGGCCAAAAAATCTTACTTTCAGGTACTCTGAATTCGTGGTCAGCAAGCCGTACGGGGACGTCTACAATTGGTAATGTATTCGAGCGAGGACTTCGTATAATTACGATCGAACTTCACTCGGTAAGTTCGTTTGATCGTTTAATAATGCCTTACGCATATCGCAGTGATTTTTTGTAGCATATTGTAGCGTATATATCGTTGCCTTCTCACAATGTCGATAATTACGAAGTATGATACATCTGCCTTTCGACGACGACGACGAGTTTGGCATGTCGACTCGTTCGAATCGTAGCTTCGAAAATTCGAAATTTCGAAAGATACGTCCGTACGGACGGACTCGATGATAAAAATGCCAGTTGAAAAGCCCAACACCGGTCAGTAATAACAAAGCGTCATGGGTGCTCCGGAGCACAGCGAGGACGACGACGACGAGGAAGCAGCAGCTCTCAACGAAGAAGAGGAAGATGAAGAGGACGAGGCTAAAACGCCGATCGAGCAAGAACGAGAGGAGGAGGATCACGTGATCGGCGAGCCGCAGGCGATCTACGGCCTCGGCAATTCGGCGGTCGGCGGCAGCGCGGGCAACGTCGAGAGCAGCAGCAGCACCACCCAGAAGACGCTGTCGGTGCCGCGGGTCTACTTTCACGCGGAGCACCTGCCGTCGACGAGGCGCCGCAGCAGCTGCCGTCTGCTCGGGCCCCAGGCCTCGTATCGGCGCCGAAGCCGAAGCATGAGCGCCTGGACCGATCTGTCCAGATCCTCCATCAGATTCGACGAGAGGTAAGTGCGAGAGAGTCGAGTCCAACCCACCCCCGAAACTAATACTGGACTCGAGAACTTGGAACAGTGCCAAGATGTATTTTTAGCTCCTAAACATAAATCAAGCAGCGGCGGTGGGCAGTAGCAACATTCTTTTGCCGCTGCGGATTAATCTAGGATAATGGGAGAGATGGTGGCGTGGGAGAAAATTGACCAATCAAAATAATTAATTGCGCTCTCTCTCTCCCTCAAATCAATGTTACATATACCCAGCGTGTAATTACCCAAATCGCATTACGTTACGATTCAATATTAAAACTTGCTTTAATGGTATACGAACGTTATTCGTTTTGTTTCGGCCAACCCAAATTATGACATTTACATGCCAGCCCTCGCGGATATTGCTTGAATTAAGCTCTCCGCGGGTATATATAAGCTCGCGGGATAATCGTTCTTAATCGATGCTAGCTAAATTTTACGTCGATTCCCAAAGTGTCTTCCCAATTATGCACAACCGGGCAATTATCCCGATTTATATCATAATGAAATTGAATAATTTAGTGGCGGGTTTTAATACTTTCATATTACATAGGACAAATCCGAATGAGAATAAAGTTAAAATTTAACTTTGAGCTCACCAAGTCCTGTTTTTTTCATTTCTTTAAAATAATCAATATTTACGCACGAGCGATTGTGCTGCTCTTGATCCGCGGGATCTTTTTACAGGCAAGGAAATTCGAGCTCCATAGACAACGATACCTTCCATTATATTGGAGCTCGGAAATTCTCCGATATATATCTATATATCGTAAACATTTCCGTTAATTTAGAAAAATATATATAATATTTGAAAATTACATATATAGAATATCAAACGTTCACGTGCGTCGCTTATACGAGTTGAAGTCCAATATAAATGCAGCGCATATCTCATTTTGTATTCTCTCCCGAGCCGCATGGCGTGATTCGAAAACGCGAATGTATACACAACGATACGCCGGAGGAGAACGTTGTATGTAATTTGAATATCTTCGCTCGCGATCTCGTAACATAACGTAAACTGTCGCAGCTAAATATCGCGCGGGGTGATGTAGCCGCGAGCTTAAATGCGCATGATGGATTATACATCAAGCCGCTATCATGAACTTTACCGAGTGTTAAGTACGCGNGGGGAGGCAACTATTCACTCGAGTGCACTACCGGTAGAAAAGAAATTAGGATAAAGTCTTTTACGATGGGTCATATGTGTGAGTGTGTGTGGGGGCACATTTTTATGGTCCACGATGCATTATTTCGAAACATTTCTTCTTTTACTACGTTTTTTTCTGCCTGCGATGAAATAAATACACGATGCCAGCACAGCTCGAGTCGAAAATCTTTTAAAGGACTGCAAAATATATATGGCGCAAGAACGAGGAATGATACTTTTTTTCGGCTCGTTGTTACTTTTTTCTTTTCTTTTTTCAATCTCCCACTCACTTCGGGAACTATAAACTACGCTCATTCTAAAACGAGTCGGCGGGAGAATTTCTACCGACGCGTTTGCCGCGCGCGCGAAGCTCTGTAGCAGCGGCAGCAGAGGAAAGTTTTATCCAAGTGCAGTTGTGTGTGAGCTTGACGTGCAGCGGCAGAAGCCCATGGATGATCGTCGGGGGTGAATACAGTTTTCGCGGAAGAATACGTAGCACGAAGGAAGATGAATAAAACATAAGCGATGAGCAAAAAAAAACACACCAAGATTTCCTTCGCTAAAATTGATGTATGAAGAAAAACGAGCGCGAATCGTTATGAGAATTCTTTTGCTCGCGCCTGCGGGACGTGTTAACGAATGACTGGGGCGATTCATCAGGCAAAATAATACTCTCGATCCGGCGCTGAAAAATTAAGAGATAGCATCAGCAATGAGAATCGAGTTAAATTGTCTCGTTAAAAAGTGGAGGAAACCTTTTAAAGAAAACCATTAATCCTGTGTGTTATCTTTCTGCCGAGTACGTGCAGACCTCGAGTGTCATTGTATAAATTTTATACACACACGTACACATACATACACGTGTATATATGGGCTGCACCATGTGAAGCGAGATAGTTCAAAAAATAATGCATAATTCACCTATGCACTGCTTTGGAGTGCATTAAAAAATGAAAATCCTTAATATTTAAGTATAATACGTCAAGTCTTTGAAATTTCATACTTATTTAATACTCTATTTTTCAGTTATATCGGAATAAACTTGATATAGCCCATATACACTCTTTGAAAAACTTTAAGCCATTAGAGAGTAAATTCACCAGTCGCTCGATAATCGACTTATCTCTTTGATAAAAAACCAAGCCCTTAAAATATTTATCACCTAGTCTCAAAGATAAACTTTACAACTAATCGCTTAAGCCCTCGAATCGAAAGTCAGTAAAAATGAGAGCAATAATCCGAGCGAAAAAATAATATCGTTGCGATCCAATAATGATAGTTACGACGCGTTCAATGAAAAGGGGGGAAGCAAAAACGGAAAACGCCGGTTATAGTAGTCGGCTGTGACCGAAACGCCGTTAAACAATATGTGGCTTCGTCGCGCAATTCAGCCATTACCTACGCAAATGCGTCGAGGTAACCATGTCGTTGACAGCCATTACCTGCCGTGACACGGCGAGACAGCTTTAGTACCGCAACGCAACTTCATTAAAATGTACAAGCGTTACCCGTTGCGTTCCGTAGATAAATTGAAATAATTTAAATAATGTCGGATTTTTTGTCCATTTTTTTTATTATTCATTCGCGAAAATCTATTTCGATCGGATTACAAAATATTATCACTTCGGAAGCGACGTTAATGCACTTCTGAGGTAAATTTAAAATGAAAAGTGTGTTTACTGCTTTTTATACGACACCTCGAGAGTTATCGTAAAAAATTTGTGCAAAATGCAACTTATATCACCGACGAGCTACGGCGTAGGACGGTTTATGCAGTATTACTTAACGGTAGGCAGTGTAATATTTTATCGCGTTTTAACTCCTGCTCATAGAATTCGTGCGCCGTTATTTGTATGTGTGTGTATATTTTTCTTTGCTTCAATTTTTTTTTGTCAGATTTCTCTCCGGGTCATACAAGAAAGAGGTGTATTGTGCCAAAACACAGAGGAAGAAGAATGAATAGTTTCGCCGTTTCATCGGACGCTTTTTTGAATGCGCCCGCGACACTGGCCTTTTTTTCTCTCTCTCGCTCGCTCTTCTTCCGTCTCTTATTTTTTCTGCAGCTCTTTACCTTTTTTTTTTTTATTTTTTGCCTTTCGACGTTGGAAATGGCAGTGGAGGTACTTTTGAAATCCGAGAGAGTACTTTGCATTGTGGAACATTTTGTTGTTTTCCTCGTGTGTGTGTGTGCGCGCATCAATCCTCTGAGAGAGATCATGAATGAGCAATAAAAATAATAGCATTGAAATTTTATTATGCTGACATGTTATTTCATATGGATTGTTATCGATCATGCGGCCTCTGCGTTGAGTAAACCGGGTTGAAACGAGCATCAAGTCGATTTTATAACTGATGCATGAAATTAAGATTGATATTTGTATCTCTTTTTTTAATCAAAGTTTTACAGTAGTCTAAGTAATCTATTGGTCAGACCTTTCATATTCTAAAAATAAATGTGATCATATTGCTCAAACAATTTATACATTAGTATAATGTTGGTTTTATGCGATTTGTTTATGTTTTATTGCTAAAAGCGACCACTAATTATTTTTTGTATCTCTTTTTTTTGCCTTTCGCAGCACATCAAAACGTTTTTTGCGAAACTGGCATTTTTTAAATGGTCTCCCATTCGTCATTTTCATCCACTTTTATTTTCCTGAATTCTCTACGTCACCTGTGGCCCGTTGACATTCCTGTTCAATTCCATGCAGCGACACACATAAATAAAAGCACCGAGCCACTCTAAATAATCTTGAACTCGACAAAAAATATTTTCCAAATAACTGTTTATGCAACTCTTTACTTGAGCAGAGTTTAATTACATACTTCCGACACAGGAATTT